CTCGATAAAGGAACATTCTTTTTAGCTGAAGTTTTCAGGATAATCTAAAGATGATTAGACCAGTCTATGGACAAAATTTCAGGTCAAAACCCGGCCGTTTGATTTACTGCTCAATATAGAAAAAATGATCAAAAATTCAGTAAAAAGGCTATAACTCGACTCCCAAGGCCCATGGGGGGAAATCTTTTTAGGCTTTCGCTAGTCTCACCGAAATCTACAAAACGGCATATGTCCGATTCAAAACGGAGAGTCACACTTGGGGACTTTCCCTCGTAAGGCGTTCAATAGCATTGGATACCATCTTTGGTCATTCTAGTGCTAATTTTACATGTAATATGTAATGTTTTCAAAGTATACAGTTCAATATAAAACACTTTACATCTCATCTATTTGCTCCAATAACAGAAGCTTTGAAATTATGTGTCGATATATTAATAATTAAGGATAATTTCATCGTTACAAATGAATATTCATCGTTTTAGCCATATTTTAAATCAAATTTCATTTTGAAACATGTAGTTGCTCTTGTTTCAAATGTATTTTCAATTTTTTAAACTTTATACAAAAATAATTTGAATCTGGTATGTGTATAACAAATGAAATACTTTCAGAAAACAACAAAGCAAGTATATTAATAAGATGAATGAATAATTCTTGAACTAAAAAAAGCATTTAATACTTTAAAATAAAATAATCAGATATCTTCTATTAGAACAAGACCGCGTGGAGCAAATAAACTGTATTAATGAAGAAGTTCAGTTTGTGTTGATACATCATTTGTTTTAGTTGCATTATTTGGCTGAGCGTTTGTTGTTGACATATTCGAATTATTGTTATCTTGCTCTTCTTCTTTTTCGTCTTCATCCTTCTCATCATCGTCGTCGTCCACTTTTTCAAGAAAGCAAAGACTTTCTTTTACCTTTTCAGGTACTTCCCATACTTTGTCTTGATCATTCCCGTCAAGTACTTTAATCAATCTATCCATTAAGTTATGTTGAATCAGTAGTTGAACATCACTCAAACGAGGAAACATGTCATGTTTGATTAAAACACATCGTTGATAACGTATTTGAGCAAGATTAGCTCGAATTTCAGCAGATGTGTTATCTTTTCTTTTCTCTTGATGTTTATTTTAACACACACACACACCTCGTCACAAAATGGACAACTATATATATATAGGTTGGCAAGGGGAAAAAATCCATATCTGAATNGTAATTCTCTATTTTGCATAAATAAATACATTCTAATTCAGCGACTTGCAAGAAAATAGCTGAATTTCATTCAAAGGCCATTCCTTTCAGTAGAGGGCTTAGCGGCGTTTGCGTCGCGTTACTTGTTTTGTACTGCAAGGACATACCTAGAACTACATTCTCATAACATTCTCTCACATAAACCATTACAAAAACGCAATCGATAAAAATTCATTCATAGTTTAAGATCAAAGTCGATCTTCTCTACAGGACTATATAAAACCACGGCATTTGCATTGATACATTCATTTTGTTCTATTATTCTATAAGGTAAGTGCCACACATCTTCTTGCTCGAACTTATATTACGAATCGTCTTATTTTTCAGATTGTATGAAATGGCTTCAGCATCTCATTCGTCATTATCAGCAGCAGAAATCGTTAATAGTCGTACTCCATTGAGTGCAACAAAAGAACAATATCAAAAATGGATATTACAGAAACATCATTGTCTTCCAAATGATACTACTTTTCATTGTTTAGTTCAATCTGGCTTAGTCAATGAAATGGTTGCAGTTCTTGGAGAACGTGAACATCGAAGAGGATACAATTATCGACTCAATGAACTTCGTCTTCATTCTTCCGATGAGGATGACGATGACGAAGATGAGTCACCTACAAAAAAATTTAAACCAAATATACTTTTACAATGTGATTCTGCAACACAGACTGAATCTGATACAACATGACTCAAATTATTTGATTAATTATACATTTACCTTTATTAAATTTAGTTTTGATTTAAAAATAAATTACTTTTCTTCATTTTAATTTCATTTGGTTTTAATAGAATGATATTCTATCATATATTCTAGATTTTATCATCAAATTCAATAACTTCTACCATGACTTCATCTATTGATCAAGCAGATACTCTGGAATTATCATTAACAATATCGATGATAACACCTGCTGAAATTCGAGCTAATCTTGCTCAAATACGTTATCAACGATGTGTTTTAATCAAACATGGCATGTTTCCTCGTTTGAGTGATGTTCAACTACTGATTCATCGTAACTTAATGGATAAATTGATTAAAGTACTTGAAGAGAATGACCAAGAAAAAGTATGGCTAGTACCTGAAAAGGTAAAAGAAAGTCTTTGCTTTCTTGAAAAAGTGGACAACGATCCTGATAGCGAAGATGACGACGACGACGATGATGAGGAGGATGAAGAAGAAGAAGAAGAAGAAGAAGATAACAATAATTCGAATATATCAACAACAAATGTTCAGCCAAATAAGGCAACTAAAACGAATGATGTATCAACACAAAGTGGTTCTCTTCATTAATACCGTTTATTTGCTTCATATCTTCTTGTTCTAATAGAAGACATCTGATTATTTGATTTTAAAGTAATAAATGCTTTTTTACGTTTAAGAATTATTCATTCATCTTATTAATATACTTGCTTTGTTGTTTTCTGAAAGTATTCGATTTGTTATACACATACCAGATTCAAATTATTGTTGTATTATAAAGTTCAAAAAATTAAAGAAATATTTGAAACAAGAGCAACTACATGTTTCAAAATGAAATTCGATCTAGAATATAAATAAAATTGTGGGATATTGGAANAGTGGAACAATCCACATATGTTATGCGTCATGATGGTCTTTTCCTATCCTGTCATTTGGTATTGTCCACTCGCGTACATATATATATAGCTGTCGTTATATGCATATATCTATGTATATTTCTCCCGTGTTCTCTCTCTTTCTCTTTTCTGTTGATATTCATTTCTTCTTGAAATAAAGATACTTCCTCAAGATCTTTTATTTCTTATCAAGACGTGACAATTTGGCGACGAGGGTGAGATTAAATTTTCTAAAAGAAAAACAATCAAACTATTGTTAGTATACAATGACTACACAAACAGCTGATCGTCTTCACAAATTTGATCCAGCATTGTTCGACTGGACAGAATGGGAGATACTTTTTGACACTCATCTAGCGGTGGAAGGAATCGTAGATGATAGCAAGAAGCGGAATTTACTTATCACCTTATTGGATGTACAACCTTTCAAAACACTGATTTCAATTTGTAAACCAAAGAAGCCTACGGAGTACTCCTATGCGGAACTACTTCACAAACTACGAACGAACTATGCTCGTGTTACTTTTGCTTCCAGTGAAAGAATCAAGTTCTTTGCACTGCGGCAGGAAACATCACAGTCGTTAACCGATTTTGCAAATGTCTTACGAAATAAGGCAACCACTTGTGATTTTCCAAGCGTTTTTTATGAACAAGCATTGGTTACTGCATTCGTCGGTGGTCTTCTCAATGATAATATTCGGAAGCATTTAATGCAAAAGAATCTCGAAACCTTTGAGGCAACCATCAACAGTGCAAAACAAATTGAAAGCGTCTTGATTGAAGCATCGGCGGGTAAGTTGAATTCGTTCAAAGACGTTGCTGTGAACAAAATTAGCAAAAACAAGAAACCAGATGGCCAATCAAGATCTACCAATAAAACAGGCTGTTCCAGTTGTGGTTCTACTGACCATATACGTACGTCTTGTCGATTTCGGGATGTCGTCTGCCGGAATTGTAAAAAGACTGGGCATATTGCAAAAGTTTGTCGATCAACTCCAGATGATAAGAAGAAACAATTGAATTCGGTGTCTATATTATCAGTCAATGGAGTTGACACGGATCAATCGATTGATCTACTTTTACAAATCAACAACATGCCAATCAAACTTCAAATGGACACAGGCTCACCAATCACCTTGATTACGGATCAAGTGTGGGAACAATTGGGTAGACCAGAATTAAACCAAGTTGACATGAACATTAATAGTTTCACTGGCCATCGCATAACGTTGAAAGGAGAGAGTGTGGTCGAGGTTGAGTATCGAGGTCAATCCTTGAAACTCAAAGTACATGTGGTAAATGGCTATGGAAATAATGTTATGGGTCGTGACTGGATTTATGCATTAAATCTCAACTCAAAAACATTAAATGACATTGGTTCCACTTCCTCAGCATTGAATCTAGCTGTTACGCCTGACAGATTGAATGATCTTTTTACTCGTTATTCAGCAATTTTTCAGGATGGACTTGGTTGTTGCAAAATTGAGGCACATTTATATGTCAAAGCGGATGCAAAGCCGAAGTTTTGCAAAGCTAGATCTTTACCATTTGCTTATCGGGACGCTGTGGAACAGGATTTGACTCGACTTGTAAATGCAGGTATTGTGGAACCAGTTGATGTGTCTCAATGGGCGGCACCGATTGTGGTGGTACCGAAGCCAGGTGGTAACGTTCGTTTGTGTGCTGATCTCAGTACTGGAGTTAATCAATCTCTTGAGATTGATAAGTATCCATTACCGAAACCAAACGATCTCTTTGTGGCTCTGAATGGTGGTTGTCAATTCAGCAAAATTGATTTTTCGGAAGCTTATTTGCAAGTACCATTAGACGATGAAAGCAAGAAACTGTTGGTGATCAATACTCACAAAGGTTTATTTCGGTATAATCGTCTACCATTTGGTGTGGCCTCAGCACCGAGCATTTTCCAGAAAATAATGGATCAAATGTTGGCAGGTCTTCAAGGCACCGTTTGTTACTTGGATGACATTATAGTTACAGGTAGTACCACAAGTGAACATTTGGTAAATTTGGGCAATGTTTTCGAAAGAATCCATGACTATGGTTTTCACATCAACAAATCCAAATGTTCTTTCTTACAAGATTCTGTTGAATATCTCGGTTTCATAGTGGACAAAAATGGTGTTCACACATCTTCATCTAGAATCAAAGCGATTGTTGATATGCCACAGCCCACAAACATTTCGCAGTTACGTTCATTCCTTGGAATGGTAAATCACTATGCCAAATTCATGCCGAACCTAACTGATCGATTAGCTCCGTTCTATACATTATTGAAGAAAAATAATAAATGGGATTGGAACTCATCATGTGCTCAAGCTTTTTCAACAATCAAACAGAGTCTTATTTCTCCACTGGTATTAACACACTATGATCCCAAGGTTCCTCTTGTTTTAGCTGCAGATGCGTCAAACGCCGGAGTGGGAGCGGTAATCTACCATCGATATCATGATGGTACAGAAAAAGCTATTGCGCATGCATCAAAAACACTAACGACTACGGAACAGAATTATTCTCAGATCGAAAAAGAAGCTTTGGCTCTCGTTTATGGAGTACAAAAGTTTGATCAGTTTCTTCGGGGCCGATTTTTCACATTATTAACAGATCACAAACCTTTATTAGCAATATTTGGATCTAAAAAGGGTATTCCGACGACGTCAGCAAATAGACTGCAACGTTGGGCACTGAAATTAATGGGATACAACTATGCGATTGAGTATCGATCAACTAATAATTTCGGTCAAGCCGATGGCCTGTCACGTTTACCTGTTGGTCCGGACAAACAATTCGATGAGGATGATCCTACTGAATCTCGATTAATCGCATCAATTCAGTTGGAATTGCAAAGCGAATTACCTTTGCGTGCGTCACAAATTGCTACGGCAACACGAAAAGATGCTACACTTCATCAAGTTTATACATACATACTTTCTGGATGGCCAATAACGACTGAAGATCATATTCAACCATACTTTCGTATTCGAAATGAACTATCTACATCACACGGATGTGTTACATGGGGTTTGCGTACTGTTATTCCAGTTTGTTATCGAGAAAAATTATTACGCCACTTACATTCTACACACGCTGGTGGTGGGAGAATGAAAGCTGATGCACGTCGTTATTTTTGGTGGCCTTCCTTGGACAAAGACATCGAACAAATCGCACTACAGTGTGAGAGTTGTTCTTTGAATTCTAAACAACCTCCAAAGAGTCCGTTGAATCAATGGCCTGTACCAGAATCTCCGTGGAAGCGGATACATATTGATTTCATGGGAAAGTTTTACGAAAAATATTTCTTAATTGTCGTTGATGCACATTCGAAATGGTTAGAGGTTGCAATCATGGAGCATATTACCACTTCTGCAACAATTGCAGCTTTGTATTCACTTTTCGCTCGTTATGGTTTGTGCGAAGAAATTGTGTCAGACAATGGAACGCAATTTACGTCACAAGACTTCGGTGATTTTTGTGCACGCCATGGTATCAGACACTTGCGAACATCACCAGGACATCCTCAGTCAAATGGACAAGCCGAAAGATATGTTGATACAGTTAAATCAGCTATCAAAAAGGGAATTGATGGTGGAGGTGGAAATCTAGCCGAAGTTTTAACCAAGTTTCTTTTTGCATACAGATCAACACCTCATGCTACCACTAATCTATCTCCTGCTGAACTTTTTCTAAAGCGACAATTGCGCACTGTTCTTGATCTTATTCGTCCGACTGCACAAGATGCAGTCAGTGCTGCTCAGGAACGTCATAAACAAGATTTTGATCAGCATACTCGAGAACGTGAATTTCATGTCGGTGACAATGTTATCGTTCGAGATTTTCGCAATTCAACAAATACGGTTAAATGGACTTCTGGTATACTTCTTAGTCAGATTGGTAATCGACTATGGAAGGTACAAGTTCATCAACAACAATGGAAACGCCATGAAAATCAAATACGATTTCGTCATTGGGAGAACAGCGACGACGATATTTTGATTGATATAGATCAAAGTCCCTCATCTGCTGAGAGTCAGTCGCATCCAAACCTTCAACAACAGCATTCACATCAAAAACAACAACTTAGACGTTCATCAAGGATCCGCAAACCAGTGAAAAGATTGATCACTGAAATTTAAAACGGAGGTGTGGGATAGTGGAACAATCCACATATGTTATGCGTCATGATGGTCTTTTCCTATCCTGTCATTTGGTATTGTCCACTCGCGTACATATATATATAGCTGTCGTTATATGCATATATCTATGTATATTTCTCCCGTGTTCTCTCTCTTTCTCTTTTCTGTTGATATTCATTTCTTCTTGAAATAAAGATACTTCCTCAAGATCTTTTATTTCTTATCAAGACGTGACAAAAATGATGAATATTTACTTGTAATGATGAAATTATCCTTAATTATTGATACATTGGTACATTATTTCAAAACTTCTGCTATTGAACCAAATAGTTAAAATGTAAAAATGTTTTATGTTGGATTGTATACTTTGAAAACATTACATATCCTTATTTGCAACTGTGTATTACATATTACTTGTAAAATTAGCACTAGAATGACAAAAGATGGTATCCAATGCTATTGAACGTCTTAGTGGTACTAATTAGTATTTCTTGATCAAATGACTGATTTTGCTTTAATAACCGTTTCTAATAAGCGCTAAAAAGTGAATGTCTAACTTACATATTCCTCATCAGAAATTGGCAACAATAACCATTACTTTTATTCGTATACCAAGATTAAAAAAGATTTAAGGTATTTCCTTTACTTTGAAACTGGATATTTTATCGTCTTTCTGTATATAACCTGATATACAAATTAAAATCTATGTACTTTTATAAATTTAAACTTAAGAAAATGAAAAGAGTACAGTCATTGGATGAGTTTTGAAATTAATTGAAGATTTAAGATTACACTTACCAATTTAGCATCACTATTCGATGCTTGCACGGCCATATAGGAGACAAAATTAAAAACGAAAATAACTCAACTAGCATATAGTTGACTGAAAAAGCATGAAGAGTGATTATCTTATTCTGATGACTTATATAATAGCTGTTTCTACTGAACTTTGGTCGGCCTTGGCATTCCTTCTTTGAGGACGAATAGTTTCATCTCTGATTGAATAACGGCACGTTGCAAGGACATAGTTTCGAAGCACCCCCTTTAAAAATTCTTTTCTCATTCTCATGCATCCTTACATGTAGATAAAATGAATAATTCATATATGCGTCTGTCTAAAATACCAATTTTCAAGCATTTTATCATGTAAATCAGTGGGAAGAATGCTTTCCCACCTACATTCCTTCCCAGAAAAGGCCAAAGTTCCGTTTCTCTCAACGACTATATAAACCAGCACCATTTTCATTACAATACTCATCTTTCATCTGCTCCAAAAGTAAGTTCCATACGTCTTCTTCTAAACTACACATTAACACTATTTCAAATGATCTACAGACCTCAGACAACAAATTCGGATATCAAACAATTATCTTTAATTATGCAAAAATACAATCGAAAAACATTCCACATCGATTTCAAATCAATGAATTATAATTAACTCGTGGAAATTGCTTTTCATCCATAAGCCCTTCAAGCTAGAAAAACAACAGTCTTCACTTGCAGCCCGAATAGACCACAACGGAAAATAAAACCAATAACCACTAATTCATACGTCAGGAGAAAAAAAGTTCCAAGCATCTACACTCATATATTGTGATCTCCACCTAATCAACAGCCAAGAATTCCACAAACCTAAGGTAAGCCTCAAAAACATTCCCATTTTATCACATACAATTGATGAAAATATTCATTTTTGTTGATTTTGTAACAGAATAATAGAATTTTGCTGTGATTTTCGTTGAAATAAGCTTTTTTCTTTTGAAAATGTTTATTTTAAGTTAAATCATACAAAATCATAAGCCATCTGATGAGTCTTCTTGAGCGGAAGATGAAACTAGTCATGGCAGCTCATCACACACCCTCACCCAACAGCAATCAATACGGTTATCGAAATAGAGGCAACCGACATTTCTATTCGAATCAAAATAGAAATTATAATAATCGTCCTCGTCGTCAAACAAATTCTTTCTTCAATCGAAATTTCATGCAACAACAGCCTTACTTTAACAATGTTAATTATAACAATGATGACATGATGATCAGTAGACCGTTTTTACCAAACCGACGATTTAATCAAAATCGACAGTATAATCGAAACTGGCAATTTAATCAGAATCGACCAAGAAGTCATTCAAATGGTTCTACTCCAACTCCAAGAAGAAGTCGATCTAGACAACGACGCAGTCCACGACCTCTAAGATTAAATGATTTTATGCCATCAGAATTTCGAGATAATTCACCAAATGCACAATATCTTGCTTCAAATTTCAACTTGGCTACTACTACTACAGATGTTACACCTGCAGATGCATTACCACAACGTCAACGTTTTGCACCAACAGCAGCTAGTAGTACTGATACTACTCAACCATTTGCCATCAGTGATCAGGGAGATGGTGCAAATCAACAACAACAACAACGAACAAATAATGGTCAACGTCAAAGAACTACTACAGCAGCACACAGACGTCGTCAACGTCGTAATCATCAGCAGCAATATCAGCAACAAAGTCAAGCAGATGATAATCCAAATCGATTTGTTGCACTTGCTGAAGAAGATACCAGTAATCAAATAGATACTGAAACGACTATAAACGATAGACCTGCAACTAATATTATGGATACAAATAAAAGAATTGACAAGAAAAAGAAAATTCGACTATACCTTCAAAAAAATCGAATAGTGAAATGGTTCGAAGACAATTCGAAAAGTTCAATTAGTGGTCGCGGTAATCAAGCATATGTATTAGCAACAACTCCAATTTATGATGAATGGGGTCGAAACAATTATGAATTCAAAGTTTGG